CTCACGCATTCTTCTACCTAAAATAGTCTAAGACCAAGTTTAGTAGTGTCGTACGTATATATATATATATATATATATACACCGCTTTCAACTCATTCTGCTGCCTGTGTTGTTTTTGCCTCTGCTTTGCTCTCCACCCTCCCGTTCGCAAGCCCGCGGAAAAAGTATTGTTCACTCTCTTCACTCCACCCGTCCCCGCGCGAGACCCGTTTCGCTTCAACCACCTCGTTCTTCCCCCGCACTCGCAGCTTTTCTTCCTTCCCTCTCACCACACCCATACGCCATCGATGCCAAATTTTAAAGGGCAAAAAAAAAAAGAGGGGGCAAAAATTCCTAGGTCCATTAAGCAGGAGTCCACTTCCTGTCCTATTAGTTCAAAAATTGGGCCGCTGTCCTGGTATTCTAATTCACTTATGTGCCTCCACGCCTCCTGCTGCTTGCAGGGTTTTAGCAACAGCGCATACTGGAGAGCACCATGTCATAAAACATGTCTGCCTTGACGTGCTTGGCAACATAGGTGCAAGGACCTCCTTGCGTGGAACGAAACGTGCGTCCCTCGCTCTTCGTCTTGTTTGTCTCCACCTCCAATGCAATCGGCTCAACCTCCGCCAAGTTATGGTCGAGCACGTAGGCGGCAGTCAGCACATCCCAGGCGTAGTAGCCATCGCCCGGGCGAATAAGTTCATAGTGCGTACACATGGCCCAGGCAGACCCCGCAAACTGCGAAAGGAGACACTCGTTTTGGGAGCCGAAGCGCTGCACAAGGGACGAGGTTACAGGGACGTGGTTCGTCGAATCAAGTGAGAAAAGAACACTGCGCATGTGCGGACACGCAAGCACCACCTTCGCCGCTGGTGGGTCCCAGTAAATGTTCCACTCTGCCGTGCCGTCACTGGTGGACTCGAAAACGTTACCGCCAACGTCGACAGCGCCGCCCATGATGACGCACTCTTTCACCTTATCCGTAAACTTACTCCCATACTTCTCGATACACCACGCCACGTTGGAGAGTGGTCCCGTCACGCAGATGGTTACCTTCTCCGGTGAATTCATCACCAGGTCTGCGAGCAGCTGCTCACCCACCAATTTCCTGTTCTCGGCCTTCACCTTGTCCCACAGCGCGACGTGCTCGGGGAGGTTCAGGCAGGGCAAGTCATCCATGTTCTTTGCATGGCTGCGCCACAGCGACGGGAAGGGATTCACGCCACGAAAGGAGGACACACCGATGGGAAAGAGAGGCACCTTTGCGCGAGTGTGAACAAGGCTCATAACCTTCCCGGTGACGCTAAATGCGTCATCCACGAAACAATCCGCATCGGTACAGATGCAGCCAATGAGCCGCACCTTCTCTGGGTGGGCAAGGAGGAGTGCCAAGGCAAGCAGGTCATCGTGGCCACCGTCATGGTCCAAAATTACGCTGCTTGGCATCTTGCACACTGACACACAATACGCACAAGTTTTTCTCTTCTTCGTCTCCACTCCCGGGGCTTCCTTGGGTCTCCACTCCGCGTTTCCTAGCGGAGCCGCGGAAAATGGCAACAATAACGGCCATAACAAAGGAATGAAATGACAAAAATAAGAAGCAAAAAAACCTCCATATGCTTCCTCCACGGCGCCTGCAGCTACTCCCATGACAGACAGAAAGTAATAGCAACAATAGCAAACAATAGGAAGTGGCGCCAGATGCCTTATCACCAGCGAGAAGATATATATATATATATTTGCTGTAAAGCGAGAAACATGCAAAGATGTCAGTACTTTCACTGTTGTCGTGTCATTTCTGATGACACAGAGCGGTAGGGAAGAAATTCGGTCTCCGTTTCCTGCGGAACAAATTCCGCCAACAGGTCATATGTCCGCTCCGGTGTGACCTCGTGCCGGAACTCCGAGGCGTGCTCCGCCCAGAGGTGGTACCGGCCAACTTCATACCACATGAGGGTGGCAAACAAACAGAGAAGTCGCCTGTTGATTTTGGCGCTACCTGCGTGCACAACTAAACGACAGCCGCACCCCAGCATTCCCATCCCAGCGGCAAAGAAGCCGCTTTGATGTCCAACCAGGCCGTTGTTCACCTTGTGCGCCTTCACCGCGTTGTAGTACATACCACACATAAAGAACAAACCCAACCACCATCGCTCCATGTTTCTTGCCTTCATGGTAAGACATCCGACAAAGCAGCCGAACAAACAGGAACAGGCCACACGAAATCCGCTACGTGGCTGTAGTCCTGCAGGCTGTTCGAGGAGAGCCGAGTACAGCAGCGGCTCATAAGTTCCACCGAAGTGGTAGCCACGACGGGCAACAGCGCCATCTTCCGCATCAACGTACAGAAGACGGCGAAGGGCCCGGGAGCCAGACATGGTCGCCTACACGCTGACAGTCATTTTGCCAGAGAGAGCGAGAGCGAGAGCGAGAGAGTGTAAAAAAAATAAGAAACCCGAGAGGAAAAATCAAGGGGAATAAAAAAAAATGAATCCAAGGCGTGAGGAGACACAAAAGAATGGAGATGGTATCCTCAGCGCCATTTTTTTTTTTTGAACAAGGCATTGGGTTTTAACGCAACTCCCCAAAAGTGAAACCCACACTCAGCAAGCAGAGAAGAAAAGCGTTTGGCGCATCAGTTCGCTTATATCGCGAAAAAATGCCAGTTGTGTTTGATTCTTACCCATCATCGTTGTGTTGTTGCATCAGTTTTTTCTTTTCTTTTCTGCCTTTCGCTTGGCGCTCCACGGCGCCCCCGCTGTTCATTCTACCACGTAGATTGCACGCGGCCACGCAGGGGTAGAAGAAGATCAAGACAGAGACACACGCAAACATTTTTTTTTTTTTCATCTTTAAGCACTACGCGAACTAGCAGTCCCGTCCTCCATGGAAGTGGTTAGGAAAAGTCTATACAGAAAGGAAAATAAAGCGGAAGTATATTAGTTCCCGCGGTCAGACGACGGAAGCAGCAATCCTGGCCTTTTAGTGTACGCGGTAATTACCCCCGTATTCATTACGGTTACTTGGTTCTTGGTGTTGTTGCCTTAGTCTTGTTTAGCACCTCGCTGCGTGTGTATGTGCGTGTATGTGAGTGTGGGTGGGTGATTTCACTGCGTTGTTGTTCTTCTTCTTTTTTTCGCTTCGTTTTTCTTTGCTTCACTTTTTCCCATTTTTTTTAAATTTTTTTTAGCTTGTTTAACGCAGAGGCTGCAGAACGCTCGCCCCGCCAATTACACTGTTTGTAAATATACCTGTAAGTAAGCAGGACCACGTGTGGGTGCATCAGCGTCGCTCCAGGGCCTTTTTGGTCATCTCGTACGTGAACATCATCAGCGTGCCCGAGGGAGCAGTGTGCATGATTCTCGCAGAGACGCCAGCAAGGAATCCGCGCACGCCGCGGGTTCGAATAATATTTCGAAACACCGACAAAACACGGGACTCTTTCCCCAGCTGCAGGTGGGTCTTCGCCACATCCAACGGGGAGGAAACTATGGACGCCGTGGTGCCGGCTAAGAGGGCGGCCGCCACGTATTCCATCGCGAGCTCGTTCTCCTTGTCGCGGCGCCCGCCGCCTAGAAAGGAGAGGAAGCCCTCATACACCGTCCAGTACGCCGCATAGTGCGGCACGTTCATCAATATTGTCGTGGGCAGCGAGACGAAAAAAATGCGGGTTCCATCCTCCGCAAGCACGTGCTGCGCGCACCGCAGCGAAGACGTGAATCGCCTCGTCCTGTCCATCTGCATCCGCTGCTTCACCACGTCAAAGGGAGTGGCGATGGTGTCGTGCGCCGCCACCGCACAACTCGAGGAGAGCATAATAGACGTGTTTGTCTCCTCCCCAAACACACGCTTTGCCGACTCGTACGCGCCAAAGTACGCCCCGTGCGACGGGACAGCCGAGACGAGAATCGGGAGCAGTCCACGGTAGAGATGCGTCAGAGGCTCGCTACGCCACACGTGACGCAGGGCGGCGGCAATGCTCGGCGAGCTCCCGCTCTGTATTCTAGTTTTGATCGTGTCAAACGGAAACATGGCGAAGTGCTCCACGAAGCCGGCGGCGCCCCCGGCAATCACCTCTTCTGGGAGGAGGGAGAAGGGGCCTCCGACACCCTCCCCCGCTTCGTATATGACAGGCGTGTTGGCCGACGACATCGCATTCACCCTCCTGCACACCAAAAAGAAAAAAAAACTGAGAAGCAACGCCCACACACGACGCGAAGGATGCGTGCGAGACTGTTGATGCAGCATGAACGCAAAAGAAAATAATAATAATAATAATAATACGGACAAGTGGAAAGCAACAAGAATAGCAAAAAAGAATGAAAAAAAAGATATATATATATATATATATATATATATTCTGTGATCCTTTCATTCCTGTTCTTCCCTGGATGACGGAAAAAAGAAGGCGCAAAGGCACAACAGAGGACTCTTCTTCTTATTCCCCTTCACTGTCAATCCGCACGGCAGCTGACACCCATTTCCGCAAGTACGGACACAATTTTGCGCGCCGGAATGAACCCCGATACCCGAGAGCCATCGCGAGTATTAGAGGTGAGGTGCATGCCCACAACGTGGTCCCCAAAGTGGTCTATCACAGGAGCCCCGCTGGAGCCGCTGGTGCTCACCGTCCCGCGCGCGACGCAGCTGAGCAGCGTGCTTTCAATCACAACCCCTGGCGAGACGATCGTCTCGTGCGGCCACTTTGTCGAGAGCCACACCGTGGCGACACGCGCCTGGAGAGGGGGGAGAAAACCACGCAGGGGGATGTGATCGAGGTCGGTGTCGACCCAGAGGACGAGGATGTCGTTGGCCCCATCCTTCAACGCATGTTCGACGCGGGCTTCTGGCATGTCTGGGTGGCGCACGGCGAAATCGCCCACGTCATCCTTCACAGCGTTGAAGTGGTGCCCCGCCGTCACCAAAACACGTGGCAGCACCGCGACGCAGGTGCCAAGAAAACCGCCACGCCAGTACAATGCGTGCATGGCCTTCAGGACCTCCGAGGACGGGTCAAGTGTCGATGGGGCGTCAAAGAAGCCATGCCTAATCATTTACCTCGGCAGCCTCCCTTCCCAAGCAGCCAGGACGAAAACAATAAGGGCAACAAGCAAAAATAATAAACAAAAACAAAATAAAAAATGGCGGGAGGGAGGGGGGGGGGCATCCGACCCCCAAAGAATTGTAATCATCAAAGGGGTGGAGATGAATGAAACGTAAAACACACGTCCGTGGACATCTACACCGCCTAAATAAATGGAGCTCAACTCTATCATTGTCCTATACACATTTTCTCTGTGTAGCTATGCCACGTATATATCTCCTCGGAGAAGCAGACAGAAACGCAAAAGTAATTGGTCTCCGAGGGAAACAAGAGGAAAAATAAAAAATAAAAAAAAGCAGAATACTCGGCTCTAAGACACTACGAATCGTAATTCTCCCTTCCTCAGTTGGGGTGGGGAGGTAATGAGATACATTGGCAATGTTGCATGGACGTTTTCAGTCTTTCTCATTCTCTCTCTCTCTCACTCCCACCCCACCACTATCCGGTTATTCCTACCTCTTTTTGTTGTTGTTGTTTGTTTTTTTTTGTATTTTCATTCCATTCTCCGCCTCTCTGCAGTAACGTCATGCTGTTGCTTTTTTTCTTCTAATTGGTTTGTTCGCTGCCTTCTCAATGTTCTTGGTGGTGTTGATGCATTCGTCCGTGTTCGGCCGCGGCCTCCTGGTGCTGGGACCACTCTCTACTTGCGCTTGGCCTTGCTCTCCTTGAGCCAGTCCTTCATCACCTTCAGGATGCTTTCAAACTGCTGCGCAATCTGCGGCTCGCTGGCGTGCTGCTGCACACTTGACTCCAGCATCTTCACAACGTCAAAGAGGGAGTCCACAGGCTCCTGATTGGCAAACACCTGTTGGAAGACACCAATGCAGGCGCCCTTTTTGCCTTCAATGTACTCAGGGGCATTGTCAAGGCGTTCTAGGACGTCAAAGGCCTTGGCAGCGTAGTAGAAAGCGCAGACCTTGTAACAGTCGTTTGCCATGAGCTGCAAAATGTTAAAGGACTCCGCGCTCGTCTCCATTTTTAGGTAAATGTCCCAGGCTCGCTTTGCGTGTTTGTTCATGATGTGGGAGCGCATTAGCCAGCTGGTGTAGCTAAACTCCGCCTTCACCTTTTCGGAGCGAACCGCCGTGAGCGAATCCTCCGCCTCAGCGAAGTTGCCGGTTCCAGCACAGGCGATGCCGTACAGATACAGGAATGTGTCGTCGTTCATGAAGTAGGGTTTGATGGAGCGCAGATACAGGAGTACGTTGGGGAAGTCACGAAGCAGAAAAAAGTACGAGGCCATGCACTGTCGTCCAGGGATGGTGTCACACTCAGACTGAGCCGTGCCTATGAGGTTAAAGTACTCCCGGGTGACCTTCAGGTGTTCCTCGGACTCAAGTTTTTGTCCAATTAGGGCGTTGACGACACCCTTTAGAATGTACTCGGGCGAAGAGACGGGCTCGAGGTCTTTGATCAACTCGTAGGCCTCCTCAAATTGGTCGTGACGCAGTTGATAAATAACAAGATTCAGCCTTGCCTCCGGCACAACGTTGAGCAGCGGCGGCAGTGCCTGAAGTGCGTCCTCGCCATTACGGAAAACCACCAGGTTGTGCTTCACTATATCGTTCTCTACATTGTAGGTCGACCGCTGTAGTTCGATAAGTACCCGCAGCTCCCCCTCCGCGGCCTTGCCATTGTAGAGGCGGTAGTGGTTACAGGCTTTCAGGTTGACGGCCGTCGCACTGTTGCTGTGCGCCTGCAAGTACACATTTAACACCTCGAGGCTAACATCGTAGTAGTCCATCTTATAGTAACACATCGCAACATACACGTTCAGGGCCACGTACTCCCGAGTTTCAAGCAAAATTCGCTTGTAAACATCAATCGCTTCTTGAAAGTGACCACGATAGTAATGTACGGCGGCCAGTGAAAGTTGATCCTCAACCGTGTCCTTCAGTTTTTGGTGATAGATAAGCAACTTGTCCTCGTCGTAGAGCTTTTGTGCAATGTGAAACATCAGACGTGTTTGCAGAGAGCAATTGGGTCCCTTTAATGCGCACTCCTCGGCCTCCTTGTAGGAGCCATTCACAAAGTGGCAGCATCCCATGTGAATGTGGTGCATGGGGTCACAATTTTCGAGAGACAGTAACTCGGTGTAGACGTCAAGAGCCTTTCCAATGTCATTCATGTGGAATGCGCTGTATGCTAGCCAGGGGTTGATGGGGAGATCACCAACAGGTTGGTTTGTTGTCTTGTAAAACTCTAACATCGTGGTGGCCTTGGAGAAATCCCGCGCCTGTAGAGCCTCCTCGAGCTGGTCCACCACGGACGCCTTTGTTTGACTGGTCTTTTGCGTCGGTGCCGCATTCTTCCGCTTCACTCGGCCACTGGTCAACAACATGGCGTCTTTTGTGCTGTCACCGGTTTGCCGCTTCCTTCGCTTGCAGGTATAGAGCTGCGTAAGCCCGTATAATTTGTTTGGCTGACAGTGCGGCGCCGCCAACGTTCACTGCCTCCGCTACTTTATCCTTGCTGTGCATGCATGTGGAAAGGAAGAAGGCGACAGAGAAGAGGTGTGCGGCAATAAATCCCCCCGAGTCAAAACTGCTGTCCGAGCGGCTGGGCCAGCGTCTTCCCACCGCACACACACACACACACGCACACTGAGAAATGGCAAAGAAGGGGGAGCAGGGGCGGCAATGCATGTCATTTGCCACGCTCGGAAAGAGCATCCTTCACGCGGTCTGTCGCGTAGCCTTGCATCGTGCCGGCGCAAATGCACAGCGTGAAGGGAATGAGTGCCAAGCCACAGTACCGGCCAATCAATTCGTGATCGGCAAGGCCACGCATTGCCATTCGGGAGCGCATGAGTTCATACCGCGCAACAAGACGGTGCTTAAATGCCCCCAGCAGCCGCATCCTGCGGCTCCAAGAGACGGGGCGAGGCAGACGCCCTGATATATATATCTATATATCCATTGCCATACGGATGGTATAAGTGCATGCGCGTTTCGGGGGAAGAGGCCGCAACCACCAAGTGCAGGGGAAGAGGAGAGTAGAGGGGGAGGAGGGCAAGCGGCGAGGCAATCTGGCGCGCAAAGCAGCAAAAAGGGAGTAGTCGCAGCGGCGCAATGCACCCACGCACAAGAAAGAAGGTCCGCGTAAGTGAGCGAGAAAAGGGGAACGGCGTTCCAACAAGGCAGATCCAAGGACGCTTCTCCTGCCTGCTCCCTTTCCATGCGTGGCCGCATTCACCTCCCATCGGTAGCCTTCAGATGAAGGCAACGGTGCGGCCCCTCCTCCGCGTACTCCGCCGCGTGGACACACATGCCTTTAAAGCTGCTCAACTGCGAAAGAATAACACCACCTGAGATCGATGCATGCATGGGCACCTTTACCTGCAACCGACGCGGCGTCACGTGCAACGGCGACACGGCATGACTCAAAGAGCCACGAACGACCTCTCGTACCCCCTTCACAACGGAGGCACCGCCAAAAAGCACCCACTGATTTAAGGAAGGGAACTCTATCAAACTTTTTTGGTGTGCATGGTGCAGAGCAAAGGGAGCATTAATATGGGGTGCGTGGAACAGCAAGGCCTCCCCGGCCTCCCTGCACACGGCAGAACTAAGCGGAAACGGCAGACTGTTGCCATCCGGAAGCGTCAGACGCGACGGCAACGCGACAGACTCCTCACCGACCCAGCACGCGGAAGACTTCAACTCCCGAAGAAGTGGCTCTTCCGCTTCTGGAAGATGGCGACTCAACACTTGGTCTGTGCCGCGAGCACCTACAGACTGTACCGCGGCGGAGAGCGAGGTTTGAACAATACCGTGCACAACAGGCACAAAACGCACCCCACGGTACCCAACGTCGATGCTCATCCCAGTTGTTTCCCCCGCAGAAAAGAGGGCCGTGGCCGCAGCGTAACCTAAAAACACACACTTGGCATCCAAGTACTCAAAGCAGCACTTTAAAATAAGTTCTCGCTTCCACTGCGGAAGCAACACATCCGTGAGCAGCGAGAGCGTTAGGCCAGCCTCCGCGGGACAGGAGTCTGAAAGCAACTCTGCAAGGTGTCGTCCAAGGGGGACCACGTCCAGGGCATCCTCCAAGTACGCCATGCTGGACGCCTCGCTCACTCCAACGTCAACCCCCAGCGTCTTGTCGGACTTTGAAAAACATGCATGTTTCACGGTGTGCGAGCCGTAATCCACAACAAACGTAACGTCCATGAGAAACGGCCTCGGTGTCCCCGGGACAAATGCCCAAACTCACACACGTAGTGAGGGAGAGAATTAGAGAGGGTAAAACAATAAACGGAAAAAGGGGAAGTTAGAGAGGGAGAGAAGACGCGGAAGCATAAAAGTGCAAGCATGTAAAATAATAATAATAATAACTATCTCTCACTCTGTCGCACTCTCTCTCCCAGTAGGATTACTAGCACTCCAATTATTATTATTGATATAATTTAGCTTCACGTCTCCATAAAACCGCAATGGTGGTCCAGAGACACACTCTACGCTCATCCGCAACTGCAACTTGCACGTTCGCAAGTACTTTTTTTTTTTTCGTTGTTTTCTTCTCTGTTTGCCTTTCCCTCCGAAATTTGAAGGAAGACAAAAAAAAGAGAATTATCGTCACGCTCTCTACATCGGAAGAGAAATTCAACATCTGTAAGACGTCCTGGCAGGACCCGCAGCAAGGCTTCAGCATAAATGTAGGAAAGAATCAAGTTTAAGGTAATCGTCATCCCCCCAGAGAGCTATCAATGCGGAGTGGTTTGTCTAATTCCATCGATTATGTAGGCCAGCCGTGTCAAATATTGAGAAAGCTCGGGCGTTTTTGTATCCTGCAAATATGTTCTGTCCACTGTATTTACAGCCTCTTGCATGAGTGCTCTGTATTGTTGTATAGCTATTGTATCATCGCTGAAGTTGGGTGCCACCGGCGCCAGTGACAATGAATCTGCCATCTGAACCTCAGGCGTGACAAAAGAGACCTGCGGCGTTGCTGTCGTTGGCATACTTGTCGCACCTTCTCGCAGACTATACCGTACCGCCTCACTTGGAGACCTATTCTCCTGAAGCAGCGTGGCGTTATTCGAAGTGACCTCCTCACCTGGAAAGTTGCATTTACTATCCCAATCCACCTTTGGCGTACGCCACGGCAGTGCTTCACGCGGTACAGTGTGGTTCTGCCTAACATAGGCCGGGTAGTCCCGGGTGCTGGCCTCCAGCTTGGTCAGCACCTTTGGGACAAGGCGGGTCGCGGTGAAGTTGATGATGCCGTGTGGAATGGAGCCGCGGGGATCACTTTGGGTCACGTACGTCAAGACGCATCCGTCACTTCCCAAGGGCTGAATTAGGTACCCCGTGAGGATGGACCGGGCACGAATGAACGACGACTTTGTCGGGCACTCGCTGTGTGTGACGGAGTGGTTAAATATGATAAACTCACCGTTGGTAAACTCCATCCACGAGCGCATATTGCAAAAGTCGCGATTCTTCATTGGCCATGGAAACTTGGCCGAGTAGTAGCCAATATCATTATTCACATTCAGCTTCACAATATTGTACCCCTCAATCATGTTCTCGTCCCACACCTCACGGTAGGCGGCGTCGTGGAGGTTGTCGTACAAGTCCACCCCCGGAATCTTCATCTCACGTCGAACTCGGACTATGTTGAGTCCGACGGAGGCGTCCTCCGAGGGTCTGGACTCCACCTTCGTGATCGCATCGGAGTAGTGCGTGCTCCAGGCCTCCTCCGAGAGCGCAAATTTTTTGAAGTTGCGGAAGTCTGAGAGGGTCTGTAGTTTATACTGCTGACCGGCTGATTCAACCAGTACCCCGTTATCTGACTGCATTGGAGAGGTATCGACACGTGGAACAACAACAAAAAAAAAGTAAAGGCAAAGTGAAGGAGAAAGCAATACAAAAAAAAAAGGACTAACTTGCCTACCCACCTAATAAACGCTGCAAAAGCCAAATGCCGGCGCATCAAAAAAAAGAAGAAAAGGAATAGAAAATAAGCCAGGTACAGACGCACACAGGCACAAAAACAACAAACAGAACAAAAACAGTGGACAGCCTCCTCCGCTCATGCTGTGCGGACACACCAGGGCCTGAGTGGAAAAGCGAGAAAAACAGTACGCGCCAAGGATACACGTCAACAGCAGACCCCATCCCTGCTCTTGTATCCAGCAGAGGTGTGCGCAACACATGTATAAGCGCACAACGCAAGAAGAGGAGGGGGCAAGAAGGAGGGAAACGAAAGTGAGAAGGAGAAGAAAGAAGGAAGGGGAATAATATATAATTTTGGTTTTGACCTTTTTGCTTTCTTGGCACCCCATGCTGCTGGATTCCCTTGACAGTAACAAAAACAAAAATAATAAAATAGACCAGAAAATACGTTACGACGACAATCGTCGGGTAGATACACCACCGCCACCACCACCACCAACAAACAGACCCTACTGCTCTTTGTCGTCGTTGTTTGCGTTCGCAACCTGTTTCTCAAGCTCCGCGACGGACGCGCGAAGGTCATCAATTGCCGACTTTCGCAAGGCAAACTCCTCCGTAGATTGTAGGGCAGGATCCACCGTCAACAGCGCCACCGTAAAGGTGTCCGGGCGCTCGGTTGTTTCGGGATGTGTCATCCACTGCACTAGCTGCTGTAGTTCGGGGCTGTACATGCCAAAATTCCCCGTATAGTTGCCAGTGCGAACAAGCGCCGGGTCACCGCCCATCAGCTCCACGCAGCTGGCGCCTAACGCATACACGTCCGCCTCGCCCTTCTGCTGTGCAAATTCGGGGAGGGTGAAGGCCTCCGGAGAAAGGTAGCGCGGGTCGCCATCGTCGTCGTTTGTCCCACAGAACTCTTCGCCCGTCCCTGGGCGATCCTTAAAGAGAGGACGTGCAAGGCCAAGGTCCGCGAGTTTGAAGGCGTACGTGCCGTCCTCCAATTTTCGCGCCAAAATATTCTCTGGTTTCACGTCTCTATGGGTAATGTGATGACACCAGAGCCAGTGTAGAGCAGACGCTATTTGGTGTATCACGGAGCGCAGAAGCGCCTCTGACAACGGCCTCTCAAACTCTGCCACCGAGCCGTTTGGGAGCCACTCTGTGCGCAGAAAAACGGCCCTGGCTTCGACCCAGGCATCAAAGTAACGCAAGACGTTAGGGTGACTACATGCACTCAAGGCGTAAACCTCCTGCAGCCGCTGCTGGAGATCGCTTTCACTGCATATTATCCGTTTCGTCTGCTTGACTGCGTAGCACTGCTGGTCAAGGTCAAGTACCCCCTTCTTCACCACGCCAAACGAGCCCGACGCGGCATCCTCGACCATACTCATCTCGTTGTTTATTCGGCTCATGATGTGCATCGCACCTAAGCTGGTGTTTAACGAATAAGTCTGCATGCCAACGCTGTCAGAGAAACACCCAGCGTGGCTGTCCTCTTGCTCCACGGTATCCGTCGTTGCGTGGCTCATTTCCCCACTTTCCCCCTTACGCTAAAGAAGCAAAAAATCAAGAGAGAAAGAGAGAAAGACGACAAAACAGATACGCATATGGGCAAATGTACAGCAAGAGAAAAACAAAACAAAAAACAAGCAAATAAGGTGTTTGGGGAGGAGGAGGAAGGGGAGGTGGCCGCACGAAAGCCACACTCCAGTGAATACATCGGCACTCCAGCAGCAACGCCACCGGTGGGTGGGAGGTGCAGAAGGATGGGAACGGCAAGAAGATAACATGACTTCTCTCACCCTCGCAAGGCACACAGTCTGCCACGACCAGACACACACTACCGGAGATGTTTTTTTTTTCCCCCCGCTTTTAATAGCAGAAGAAGGTGCAGGAAA